TCCCTTTACTTAACAATGGGACAAAAGAAAAACAAAACAAAAACACCTGTGTTATGGTTTAGAAAGATACAGCTTCATCTCTATTTCTCCTTTACTGAGTTTATTACAAAGAAAAATAAATGGGATTTTTCTTTTCTAAACTGATGTTACTGGCCCTCTGATTTTATATAGAGGGAACACTTACCACTTTATTTCTATTTTCACTAAAACTCTTGGATATGAAAAATCCTATAGGGGTATCTATTTACATTTAAGATTGGAATGAACTCACTCCCTTAATTCACATTTGAAAATAATTAAAAGCAAGTTGTTTCATTCCTAAAGAGTGCTCTCTGCCTTCAAAAATCTTTGAGAATTTAAAGGAAGAAATCCATGTCATACAAGTTCTTCCTCCTTCCCTCAAGATATATTTGGAGGGAATGCAATGGGATAGCTAGAAAGGACAGGAGGAACTAACTCCAATGAGACAGTTTCCTGGGATGACGAGGCTACAACTGAGTCTGTGTCCCCTGAGCTAATAGTAAGAATCAAAGAGCACACTTGTAAGACTCTAAAAATACAGACCTCAAAGAAGCTTGGAACTTATTCTAGTAGATTTTATAGAGAAGACAACAACATAGAAGAGAAGTGACAAAGTCATAAGAAAAATCCAAGTTTCCTGCTTTGAAGTGGCTTCCGCCTTCTACCAGTTTGTCGATGGAGAGTCAGCGTCCACATCTGGGAGGGACTAGAAACAATGATCGATCACCACATGGATGGTTATCCTACACAGGCTTGCTATGGGGATCCCTTAGGATAGGCAGAGTCACAGGATTCAATGGGATCATTCTCTCAGCTATGTTATCCCTCTGTTTAATGCCAACTTTAATTTTAGTCTCAAGGACAATACATTTCCAAACAAATTAGAAACCTTTCCCCAAAAGTTGTTTGAATCTATTTGAATTAAAAAGACAGTATATTTGTGGGTTAGTAAAACACTTAAGATAAAAATTACTAGGTAATTAAGAGCTGATACGTACTTATTGGTTATTAAAATGCATTTTTGAGTTTTCTTCTAATCAATTGATTCATTTAACAAACATCTTTGAGCATCTAATATACATATTGTAGGACCATACACATATTTGGAAAAGACACAAAGACCAATTAATAAGTATGTCTGTGCACAACGCTGTAATGTGAGGTAAGTATGTATGTGACAAAGCTGAGCGAGAAGAGCAAGGAGGGCCACAGAAGAGACAGGCCGCAAGAAGGGGCTGGTGTGGGCCAGTGAGTAGAATCTTCACAGCGGGGTAGGTTGGGAAAAGCAATACAGGGCAGAGAGGGCATTTTTGTAGATGGTACACCTGAGCACATGTAGGGGGATTTTGCACAACCAGGTACAGATGAGCTGACCGTACAGACTGGCATCAAAATTTACCTGGATGGCAGGAGGAGGTAGAAGCTAAGAGTCAGACAGGGGATTTGATCTTGCTTAGGGAGGATGGGGAAGAGGGGGAGGGGGACAGTGCTGACAATCTGTAAGCAAGGAAGGGCAAAATTCAGGGCATGTGGGCAAGAGAAAGGAGAAACCAAAGGCAGCAGCAGCAGCACTCATTAAGAAAGGATCACACGAATGAACTATTTCTAGAACTAAGATGGTGACAGTGGGAATGGAGAAGAAAGAATGGATGTGATAGCTAAGTGATCTTTAAGTATGTCTGATTGACAGAGAAGTGGAATAATCCCTCCATTACTTAGAGCTGCTCGAAGCCTGGTAAGTATTGCCCATTGTCATCTGAGAACACGAAGTACTTAGGGAGGTATAATTTAACACTCGCCGCGGCTAAGGAAGGGGGTCTTTAGGCCTTGCATAACTCTATCCATCTCGAAAGCATACCTTTCCATCAGAAGAGAATAAAAGTGACAACTGTGTCCTAACCTATCCTCACCGGGAACTACCCACTGTGAAAACTGCTCACACAAGAGGAGAAAAAGGTCAAATTAGAGAGTTATCACTTATTACATTTCATACTGCATTCATGTGGAACAATGTACGCTTTGCCAAGCACTGTTCTTACTCATTTTCTCATTCCCCATAAAGCAGCACTTGAGGTATTAAGGGTGGGAATTACAGGCCCGATGTTTTCGGGAGAGGCTGAGGACGGCCACACGACAGTGACCAAGACCAGCATCTCCCACTTCCCGGGATAGGGCACTTCCCACCCACCTCAAAGTGCCAACCTTACACAGTCGTACTTCAATGCAAGCGGCCTGAACTTCATGGGATTTAAAATAGATGCCGGTTGGCCAAGAGAGGGGTGCGGTGAAAAGCCAGCCAAGGGAGCAGATACAGGCTGCCCAGAAAGTGTCCTGCATGGAAGGAAACACAACCCAGAGACCAGCTGGGAATTCCATTGCTGCCTTGGGTTTAGAAATTGTTTATTTTTATTTCTTGGCTCCAACCTTTCATTCCTGTCCTTGTCTCTTCTTGTCTCCCTCCTTTTCTTTCTTTCTCCCTTTCTTCTCCTGGCAGCCAGAACCCCGCTCTGCACATACACATGTCTCAGCATTTAATACCATCATCTAAAAATACATCTCATGCTAACAAGCTGTCTCCTGCAGGTGGCACAATTTAAAATTGATACCAGAGGAACATATCGTATCATGATCAGCCTTTGATTCATTTACCCTGCATATTAAAGATCCAGAAATAAAATAAACACAGTTTACAAGAAAAAAATTAATGCAAAATGTGAGACGCTTTCAAGTGGCATTTTCAAGCCCTGTTTTGGCGGTGGGCTTATGTAATCAGACATAATTGTCTGCACGTGTTTGGTTATACTATTGCAGAAATGATTCCCAGTCCACCAGATGACATCAGAGGGGTCAGTGTTGGCCCCCCAGTGTCTGAGAGCTGCTCCCCTCTGTGCTATCCTAATAGGGAAGAAAGATGACAACTGTCCACCCCATTTCCTGCCCAGCCACAAAGCCTTTCTTCACTTCTCTTTGTAAGGGTGCCCACATTCTCATCCCCACACTCTTGAACTTGCTTCATGTGCCTCTCCCCCACTTACATACAGAGCGAAGTTTTCCCTGGAAAAATCTATCTTAAATCTCAGAGATTCAGGAAATACATGAATGCACATAGGCTTGAAACCCCACACACAAACACGGAGCTACTTCAGCCACCTGGAATAAATTCTTGAGGACATACTTCTTCACCATGGCATCTTGTATTTCTCTAAGCAGACTTCGAGGAAGCTCATTCATTAATCATAATTAGTAGTGTTAGCATAAGCACAAGAAGGGACCGATCTCTCTGCTCTGGAAATCCTTTCTAGAAAAGGGATATGGGGTGGGTGAGGTGTAATGATGAACATCTGAGGCGGTGTGAACTTATTCCTCTGAATCACATACAGTGATATAAAATCATGTTACATCAAATTTTAATTATTTAATTAAAAATAAAAATAAAAAAAAAGAAAAATCATGAAAAAAAATATAAAGAAAAGGGGGATGTGACTGTCCAGATACATTTAATGTGGCTAACTTGGACCTCCTTACTGCCCTCCCAGAGAGGGACCTGATACATATATAAATTCAGAGGGCTTCTGCCTAAAACAGGTAAAAAATAAAGAACTACTTGGAAGTGACCTTAAAGGTCACCAAGACACTTAAAAGGTGAGTCTTGATTTTCTTCTGTAACATCCTTACCAAGCACCTGGCTAACTTTCAAACATTAATACTCCAGGGCTCCAGTGACAGGGAATCCCCGGGATCAACAGAAAGCCAATCCCTCCATGAGACATCTCTGCCTGAGAGTCCGATGTGACAGTCCACTGTTTTTCTCTCTGACTCTTCCACTGTGATTCTATCTGACCCCCTTAGACCCTTCTTGATGAATCCAATCTCACAGACGATGACATGTCTAAACCTAGATGTACCACCCTAATCTCCTCTTCCATGGGATCAGATTCCCAACTGGCTCAACCATTATTCACCTGAGGAAACAATGGGTATGCTTTTGCATTCTTCCAGTTGGTGTAGACACTATACCACAATTAGAATATCCTAGGAGCAAATGAATACCTACCTCCTGCCTACCTTTCCTCCCCTCCACCCCTAATTTATTTTAATCATAACAACAGAAACAAACAGAAAATTATCACCATCAACCAACCAATTTTCTTCAATAGTTCTGAGCCAACAGTTCTACTGCAACCTCTTCTGAACTTGAAACGTCCAGGAAATCACCCCATCTAAAGAACAGCCAGCCCCCTTTTCCAGGCTGCCCGCCTGTCCCAGCTTGCTGTCACCGCTGCTGAGACAGCAGACGATTGAGCTGAGAAATCCAGTTGGATTGCTGTCCCAAATCTACACTCGGTTCTCCTTGTGTCTGTCTGATCGATTTCACTCTGTGCGACATAGCTTGTCGCTATGAATTTTCATGCTAGTCAGGAGCCGCCAGCGCACCCAAGAACAAGTAGAGGATGGGTTGCTTCCCTCCCCATTTTTCAACACACCCAGCCTCTGGGTTTCTTTTTTTTTTTCTCTCTCTCTCTTTTTTTTTAGTAGTCCTTTGACCATTTGGAGAAAGGTTTTTTGTTTTGACCACAGACCTGTATGCGATGATTTTGGCTACGGATACCCTGCCCCGCACCACCCGCCTCCCCCGAGGTGGCCAGGCTCCAGCGTGTGGCGACACTTCCTCCCACTGTTGTACTGGGTGTCACCTGTTCAGCAGCTCCTCTGAGCTGAACGCATGTGGCCGCAGGTGCCATGCAAACACTGATTGTGCCTGACAGCCCTAGATGCCAGCTGCCTGCACGAAGCCTGCCCAGTTGCCACTTTTTGTGTGGGTAGAAAGTTGCCGATGGCATGACCGATACAGAAACGAGAAGCTAGATGACCGTAAAGCTTGGATAAGTCCTACTAAGTGGCAATCTGAGCCCTGTGGCTTTGAAATAATTGGTAGTGATAGAATAAAAAGAGGGGGAGGTGAAGCCTTTTTTTCTTACACTGATGCCCTGCGGACTGTACATCTGACTGGCTGCGAGTCCGTCACTGTATCCTCCTGTCTGGCTGATAACATGGCGAAGGGTATCCACCTAAACAGTGAACAACAACAGAAAAGAAATTAGTCAGGGAGATGCGGGGAGGCAGGTCATCATCACACAGGCTACCATCGGGCATGCCACATTAGCGCAGTTATTTTGGAGACATTCTTTTCAAGGAAGGGTCCATGAAGAAGGGGCTATGCCCCTCCCCTATGTCAAATCCGGAATCCTTTCCTAGTTCGGTAAGCAAGACGACAAAATGGTCAAGGAGAACTGGGATTCGCAGCGTTGCAACAGGTTCACAATGCGGCATGAGATGACTGGGATTGGGGTGAGGAGGGGGTGAGAGGGGAGAGGGTGAAGGAATTTCCCCTTCCCTACAGATCATCCTATGTAGCTTTTCCTGTACTGGGGAACTTATACACATAAGGTTGTGTTTAGAGGGGCCTGGGTAGCCACCTCCCGGAGAGAGCAGTGTGTGTGCTTGTCTTTCTGTGGATTTAAATGATGGCCAGTTGTTGGGTCATTTGACCAAAGTCTGACTCTATCTCCACACACTCGTTTTCAAGGAATGGTTCCTGGGCGAGGGGTGGGATCACTGGCCGCTAGTCTGTCCAGGCATGGAGGAGGGGGGTCCTGCTCCGAATCCAGGGGTAAGTTGGACTGACTCGGCTGACAGCTTTTCTAGCAACTTTAACCTAGCACACTGCTTTACCATCTCACGTCAGGTGCCATGCTGGGGCTGCAGGTGGCTTCCTGAGGTGCCATGAAGGTGAGCTGAGGGCTTTCACCACACAGCTTCAATTTTTGCTTCATACCGGAAACCCAAGTCCTTGAACCTCAAGGATGGCTGAGAAAATGAGTTTAGTACACCTGTCTGGGCGTTTTTAAACCCTAAAAGGAAAACACAAGATATTAAGGTATTTGCTTACTCATTCAGCACCTCCTTGTTTGGCAAATACTGAGTATGGGAGACCCACAGGCAAGAGGGAAACCCACAGGCGAGCTGGAAAGTAAGACAACAGACTAAATTCTTCCTCCCTTTCCCTTCAGTGATCAAGATTTTGTGGGTTCCACTTGCCTGATAGGCCCCATCACTCACCCTTAGCTGTTGCTCTCCTACCTTCCTAGAATGACGAGTCAGAGCCAAATGCATTCACAAAGTGTGGACGAGGTTCCCTATGACAGTGGTTGTCTTTGTTTTGGTTTAGTTGTTGATTTTTTTTTTCACATTTCTCTCCTTTCTCAGTCTTTCTCTCTCTCTCTCTCCCTCCAGCATTGGGAAGTGCCAATAAGACTGAGGGCTCTTGGATTCTAATGCATTCACTTGGTTGCACATTGGCTGGGTCCCTACCTGTGATTGCACGTTGGCTCCAACCTGGGCCCCTTGGTAAGAATCCCCATTGAGTGACTGCACGCTCATGAACAAATCTCCAGAGTTTGACATGTTAAAAGAACTGGAAGAACCTGGAAAGGAAAGAGTGAGGCACCTGAATCACAGAAAAGAAAAGGCTCAATCCCCGCAACTAACAGCCGAGAAGGAGAATGACATGCAAAGCAACCCCCCACCCCAGTAAAGACTAAAATAAAAACAAAACCAACAGAGTCTGGTTAGTAGCATGAAGAACAGAGCAAGCAATAAAGGGTGCATATCATTCATGTTATGTGAAGCCACATCTTGCTGCAAGTTGCCAACAGGACTGCTTCCCCTTAGCAACTTCAAGCTGGGAAAGGGAACATTATTCTTCTTAACCTAGTCTATGTGAATTAGAGACAGTCTCTAAACCTAAGGTCTCTCTTTCATGCCTAAAAATTCTAGGTTTGGCCAGCAGACCACAGTTGGAGAATTTGGGCTGGTCATGATACTTCTGCTGCCATGCTGGAGCACATGAACTGGGCTTGTAAATGTATTCTTGCCAGATCCATCCACTCTCACATAGGGGACAGCCCTGGGAGGGAGTGCATAGAAGCTATGCCACACATTAGGGCTGGCCATGTGGGGTGAGTGCCTTGCCATTCCTGACTTCTACAAAGAAAGTGAAGTTCCTCTCTGGGTGGCAAACAGCCCAGGAGAGTCTCAAGGATCATAAGACTATGTGAGGATGATCTAGTCTTCTCTCTCATCTTCCACTATGTAGATGAAACAGGGTAATGGGCCAGGTATTCTCAAGCATGCATGAAATATGAAAGGCTGATACTACTACTACGACTACCACCACTACCACCACCACCACCATCATTACTAATGGGCTTCAAGACGAGCTTTCATTTCCCAGAGATGGACCTTCTCCCAGAGCTAGCTTTTAGGTCCATTCTGGTACCACCCAGGTTCCAAGGGGGCACTGTGGTAAGTCTAGATCCTCCTATCCCAACCTAAGCACAAGGGCATGGAAGAGCTTCATATTATTCTGAAGTCATCGTGCAGCTTAGCGCATTAGGAAAGAAAGCTCAACGTGCAAGGTTTGGTTAAAACATGACATTAGCCTGGAAAAGGAGAGACTTTAGGGACCCAGGTCAGTTCCACTCTGCCATTTCCAACCCTCTGTTGCTCAAATTGTTCTTGTGTCCTCATATTCTGAGATAGCCATCATCTGTGTGGAATTGCCCAGCAATAACTCATGCCTCAGCTCTGATACTTCAGCTGAGCAGAAGAGAAGGTTCTATTTGTTCCATAGGAGGGCTATGTAACTAGCAATACATTCTAAACTCGGCCACTGTAGTCTCTGTTTGCCTATTCACAGTATTCCTCCTCTCAAAGGCAAGACCCATTTAAAGGAAACAAATGATTGACTCGGGCACAAACTGAAGTTAACATCCCCATTTTTCATTGTTCTGGGGGATGTTCATCCACATGCCAAGAACCAGCTAACTATTGTTTCATTATCTGATCCTTCACTCTCGCTCTCTATCCTCTGGGAAAAATGGAATGTTTTGGAAACTAGGAGATGACTCAAGTACCATGCAAAAAACCATGACATCTCCATAACTTTGCAACATGTCCTGTCTCATCTGGCACATATTTCTCTGTTTCCTTATCTGAAAGAAATCAGAGAAGTTGGGTCTTAGGTACAAGAAGCATAAGATTGACCAGGTGCGGCTTCCATTCAGTGAGCAGGGTTAAGACTTTGGCCTGGAATTCCTCCTATTAACGTGGCACAAATCTTGCCAGTGGTGCTCCTCAATGTATGGTGAGGCCAGAAGTGTGTGGCCCAGATCATATTCTCAAGGCAAGATGTATAATTCCCAGGTATTTATGTCCTAGTTAATTCCCTCTCAAATCTTTCTTTAATCACAGAAATATAAACTAAATAATAAACAATACTTTTGTAAAAAAATGTTACAACATTCTCATATTCAGATGTCATTGAAACCAACAATTATCATCATCAGGAATCCAATTATTTACATGACACCAGATTTTTTCCCCTCCGAGAGTGTTTATTTTAAAGCCCAGGTAGTTGATGTCTTTCCCAATCAAATACCATGTAATAAACACACATTCTATATGCTTGACTGATGGTTTATTGGAAATTAGCACATAGGCTGAGAAATGGGAGAAGCCCCCAAAGAGCTACACCAATGCCAAGTACCATGACATCCACAGAACCGTGAAGGCCTGGAAGGCACCATTTACAAGATATACACTGCAATTGACATAGCTGATTTAAAAAATATATGTGCATAGATAAATTGTAAATATGTCTGGCTGCCTAATGTACATAGAGATAAATATGCGCATACCAATGCACTTCATGTACAAATGCATTTGAATCAGAGCAGTAATTGCGAGAACAGTAGTGCCAGTGCTCTTGGCTGTGCTGTTTCAGCATTTCATTGTTGCTGTATACCCATGTTCAACACTACCATGGCTCCTGACTCTCTGATAAGTATCTAGAGGCAGTGATTGCTCTGAGGGAGAGACCAGGTGCAGATAGACGTCCACATAAAAATCTAAGTAATGAGGGGAAGACATGTTCTTCATCTGGCACTGCAAATTGGAAAGAACTTATCAGGGAATGGAGAGCCTACTGGGAGGCCATAGTTCATAGACAGAGTGAAAGGGCACCTCTGAGAGGTGCCATGGAATTCTCAAAGGACGAAACAGATCACCTGGGTTGCTAAGGCCAATGGGGAACCATATCTGTGATTACCAGAGGCATGTTTTAAGACTGTGTCTGCAACGGTTCTAAGTTGGCTTGCAAAGGGAAGCCGCCATCCAGACATCGGGGGCATGTAGAACTAACATTTATTTTCATAAGAAAATTTTCCAAAGACTGCAATTTCTCCTCCAAAGAGTCTTCAGGAGATCTTCATTTGTTCAGGAAAATGACTTGACAATCCAAATTAAATATGAGGGATAAAATGTGAAACTACAGCAGGACTTGGTCACTCTGACACCACTGAAGTTTTACACCAGGTGATTCTTTGTTGTGGAGGAGTCTTACGTGCTATAGGAAAGTGGGCCACATTCCTGGTCTCTAGCCACTAGAGATCAGCAGCAGGCCCCCCTCCCCCCAAACCACGTCAAACAAAAGTATTTCTAGACATTACTGAATACTCCCTGGGGTGCAACTTCATCCCAGTTGAGAACAAATGACCTAGAATAGGGATGGGTTATTTCCTCTTTCTAAAGATCCCAAGGTGTTTAAAAGTGTAAGCTGCTTATTTTGCACTGCATTTTTATGAAGCAGATTAGGGCAAGAACCATCCTCATTTGTAGTTTAGAAATCAAGGCTCCAGATGGACTCAGGGGCTGTCCTGACTGGACTCACATGCCATTTGGGGGCACAAGAGCCAGAGTCTCCTGGACAGATGTCACGATGCCAGGCTTGCTTCTCTATTTCCTATGACGCTTCCACTTCCCAACTCAAAGATCATTGTTCCGTTCTACTCAGGGTAAAGAAAAAAGGAGGGGGGGCTTGTCTGACTCATTGCTGAAGTTCTAGAGCTCCAAGTCTAGGAGACTGTGTTTTCATCTTCTACTGAGAAAGTGAAGGAAAATATAGGAAGAAAGAACACAACAAAAAACATCAGTGGGATAAAATCTTTTAGGTGGTTTTCAAAAGCAAAATTATAACAGCTCCTGAGGAGTGACGAGAGGTGTCAGTTACCTTTTCTGGAGGTGTCCTCTCCTCTTTAATTGTATGTATTATTCATAAACTTTTCTTAGGGAGCTAGTGTCCAACAGGTTTAACATGATAATCACCCATCAATTCAGGGAAACACCAACCCTCCTTTGGAGGTGTAATAAGAATGTGTATAGAGGGAGAACTTTCATGGCTGACCTTGCTTGAACATGCTTGCCTATTACACACACACATGATTAAGCAAAAAGCATTCAAATCTAAGGATTCTGAGCTTCAATAAACCTGGGATTGCTTGGCTAGCTACAGAACCTGATAAGCTATCAATGTGGATACTATTGCCACATCAACATTTATAATGCATATGTCAGCGTCTTTCTTTTTGGATAAAAAATGTTCTCCAGGTGATAACAAAATTTTCCAAAAGTGGTGTTTTTAAAATTAATTCTTGCAGTTATAATCTCATTAAAAGAATTACAAATTGAGAATGTGTTGCTCTTGTTCATTCAAGAATTAAGGACCCACGGTTACAACCATTGCTTCAGCTAGTCTCTATTTTTGCTTTCTTGCTTTCAATACTTAATTTCCTTGTCTTCCTTCTGTTCTTCCTCTGTGTCCATCCAATTTGCCCAGTTCTGTTGGTGTGAAGTATGAAGCATGCCAAGATTCTGTAAATGCTTGCTAATCCATCCCAGGTCCTTAGTGGTTTTTATGAATCAAACTTAAGGATATAGGAGATCAGGAATATATATCAACAAATAGCAATATTTTAAAGTAGCCTAAACAAAGATACTAAAGTATTGCTCTCCACACAAAAAACCTCTACAGAGAATAAGATTTACTTGTAAAGTATCTTCCTTGCAGAAGAAATGAGTATATTTGGTAAAGGTGCTGGGAAAATAAAAAGAAATAGAAATCAAGCATGCTTTGATATCAAGGATATAAAAAATTCCTAGGTTTCAGAATTACAGACTTTAAACTCAACTGAAATGTATTTTCATATATTAACTTCTTATTTAAAAAATTGCCACCTATTTTAATTATCATTTATCTTTTGAAATCATCACAGAGCAAGTATGCAACATTATAAACGCTCTGTGTAAGAAGGCTGAACGCTTTAATGTTCACACTTTATCTGTGCATAGATTTGGGTTTGAGGAAGAGCAAAAGAAAATACAGAAAAGCTCACTTATAACTTTTACTGTTAAAATGATTTTCTTTCAAAATTCCATGCTACTGCACATACACAATAGTATTTTCTTTTGACTCTACTTTAGAAAAAGTATTACAAAGGGGTTCCTCTGCATATTATTTCCAACAACTTAGGCACAACTGGAAGGCTTAGCTCAAATTTTCCATAATAATTTACTTTGTGCTCAGAATAGTCACATGAAGTTTAAGCCACCAGAAAAATTTCTTAGAAAATTCTAATCATAGACTGAGATTCCAAAGGAGCAAACACAAGTCTTAAACACAGAGTAGGGGGCTAAAATGCTTACTCTTCTCTTTTTAAGTGCTTTAGGAAAGAATAAAAAGTTACAGATTTAGTAATGAAGGGAGCCCACAGGGCTCTTTTAAGGACTAGTCATAAATCATGCTAAGCCATCTGTGATGCAGATATATCAGGGACAGGGAAAAGTCATTTTGATATCTGTTTTGCATTATGATAACCTTCGCAGGAGTGTTGAGTGTGTTTTTGCTAATGTTGACAGAACTGTACTTCTTCCAAAAAAAAGTGAAAATGTCTGCCTAGCAATTCAACTAGTACAGTCCAACAAGTGTTGCTGGGTCTGAAAAGCTTAATAATTGACCAGATGGGGAAGAAGGAAACACTCTGCTTATTGAACCTGTTAGCCTTGGTCCTTTGTCTATCATACCAGGCTGGGAAAAGAAGTTAACACACACTCAAAAAAACAAATATGCTCTTCATGGTAACCCTACCTGGGGTGCTGTGAAGAAATAAGGCGGGATTGACCTACATTGTCTTACCATATCCATGCTTATAAAGGCCAGACCATTCTTCATGCATGATTTCATTTTCACAAAAGAAGGCTATGCCAGCACAGCCCAGTGACTTGGAGAACGTTATGATGACATATTAGAGTATCTAGAAGCTCACAGAATGTGGAAGCCTACAGGTTTCCAATAACAATCCACCATGAAATAGAAAGTGAATTTATTTTACTGGATAAACAAGTTTTGGGGTCAAAGATCTCATACACAACCCGAAATGTTAAAAATAATTTTTAATCATATCATAACCTAACATATTTAAGTGTGTGACCCCTTACAGTTGAAGTCATCAATTATCTCAGCTGTATACCCCATAGTCAAAATCAATGCATCTCATTCATTATGTGGAAAATATAAGAATCTAAGACCAAGCTTATTTTTTTTTCCTGTCTTAGGACCCTAATTTTATATTCTACCAGTAAAGTGCAAAAGAGGTCTCTTCTTCCAAATAAGAAATCTTAATCTTTTTAAGTTTTCTATCTAAAATGAAAGTTTATAATTTAGATTTGTTTTTAATTTTTAAAATAAATTTTTACATCATTGTTCATTTTTAAACAATATTTGCTTTCCCCACCCCCTCAGTAAGTGTAGTTTCCATAGAATTTCCTTCACCAATGCACCCGTGCAGCATCACCACAGTTCCCTGAGCTCCTCCCTCCCTCCCTTGGACCTTTCTCCCTCCTCCTCCCCTGCAGGATGTCTCTGATTTATAACTGAATGACCAAACTTATTTAATAAAGAAATATTTTTTCCCTTACAGAAAGTAGTACCATCATGCTTTCCATAGCATAAGACACTATGGTTACATTTTATGCATTAACAATGTTTTTTTATAAGTGAAAAATTCAGAACTGATGGTACAAGGCACACACAAAAACATATTATGTTAGCCTAAACTCTGAAATTAGTGATATAATCCATAGCATCTAAAGTAAGACCATAGCACATGACTGATATAAAGACTGGTATCTGAATAATTTGATTAAATGACTGGATGGCAATTTTTTTTGCAGTTTAAATAAAGAAAAAACAGAATGAAATAGTAAAGAACTACAACTATAAGCAACATATAGAAATAATCACAGCTTGGCTTTGCAACCAAAACATTCTAATGAGATACTGTTTAGAAGAGTGAATATTTCTGCATAGACATATACTAATGATGGCCCAGCCATTATGTGATAGGAATGGCAAAGTAGACAAGTATAAAAACTTTATATGAAACAGACTAAATTATATAACCACAAAGGACTACCTCTAAGTATTAGATCTAGCTTATTTATTGGTATCTCTGAAAACACCAAAACCAACCAATTTACCTCCATCCAAGAACATATAGGAGAGTGATCCTCCAGACAAGCCCATTTTATAAACAGTATAACAAACTGCACTTTGGAATTAAAAGAAAAAACCTAAACTGGCATTCATAACCAAAAAAATAAAAAAGGACAAATACATAGATCAATTCTCAGAAACCCAAAGAATTAAAAGAAAACCCCAATGTAAGAAAAGTCAATATGAAAATGGAGAACAATCCCCCCAAATGAAAGACAAAACTAACCAGCTGAGTTGGGAGTTGAGGGTGAGTTAGCTTGGCTTCCATGGGCTGACACATTGGTAGCAGTGACAGCCGTCTTGGCAGCATAAATATTGGCTTCCTCTTGAAATTTACCTATGTTCTTCTTGTACCGGATTCGCTTATTTCCAAACCAGTTTGATACCTAGGGCAGTTGAAGAGGAGATGAGAAAGTTAGCATTTCATCCTGCATAAACATCACAGAAGAAAAGCAAAGGCTTATGAGAGGACTGAAGGAGGCTAACTGGTCCTATTCAAGTTATGCTTTTGTAACAATTCAGAATTTGAAGTAAAAACTTTGAGAGAAGTGACTTTCTTAAAATAACACATTTTAGCAAAAACACATTTTAACAAAATCACTATGACAAAAATTGTCCTCTTATTTAAACGAGGACACTATTAGTTTGGGGTAATCATTTAAAATCTGCTGACCTCTTTATATCACACTAACACAAATATAATATTTCCGGAGACGTGTCTGATTTTTATCAATGCTAAAGCTGATTCTGGACAATCAAAATACACAGATCTTTAAATATTCATAAATGTATATCAACCAAGGGCCATCGATGATTAATTTTAAGTTTTAAAAGTTAAGTAAATTTAACATGGACTAGACTCTTAATTGAATTGTGCTTTAGATCTTAGGATCAACATAATCCAACCCAGCAGATTTCATGAAGTAATCTCCATAAAGATTGCTGTTATTTTCATAAGGAAAAATTGAAGCATTCACTGATTATTCTTTTGCATTCCAGGCTTTAAATGGGAAAGCCAACACACACAATAAACCTCATTTATGTTCCTTTGTTAACTTATTTTCTTCCTGTGTCTCCCAGCATCCGTTCTGGCTTGATTCTATTTCCCTGTTTCCTCTATATCAAGCCCTCTGCCAGACACAAGAGGAGACTCCATGAATTCAAGTTTTATCCCACATATAACTCCCGCCTTACAGAGGAAGTTTCATACCCCACACTCCAGATGTGATTTCAAACTAAAGTGCTGTGGTTTTATGTAATTACAGAACAAATTCTGAATTTGGTAAAGGAAAGGGAAGTTAATAACACTAGTACCGTAGTTTACATATAATTTATATTTACCTCCAACAATGGCAGGTAAAGGAAATTCTTGCAAGACTACACTTATGCTAGCTGACATTAGTCAGAAGGAAAAAGATAAATACTGGATGGTCTCACTTATAGGTGGAATATAAAGAAGCAAGATATATGTGTTTGGTATTCCAGGAAAGAAGGCTCACCTGGGTATTCAAGCAAAGGTCTATGTTTGCAGCAGTGGCATGAAGAGCGCAATCACATAAAGCATGTAGAACATTCTTTTCAAAGTCAACTGTATTTTTGTGGAGAACATGTTAAAGGATCCCTAGTTGACCTCTTCCTCTTTTCCTGAGATTTGCATTCAGGATGAGTGAGACCCAAAACTTGATATTTATAACAAGCTCCCAGGTGTTGTTGATGCCACTTTCTGTGGCTCACACCTTCAGCAGCAAGAACACAGAAGGGGTCAAAGGAGAAGATAGTTGATAGATGGATTTCAGATGGGTTTTGGGGTATGAGCATATCTTTTGTTTTAGATCAAGAGGATCTGTGACTTCCAAGAAATTGTTAAGAACCATTAGCTAAGACATCCAAATATGAACAGTAGTTTTAGAACAATAGTTTTATGGTAGGTAGAGAGAGCAGATACTCTAAGAAGACTAAGCAAAGTAGTCCAAGAGGGAGGAGGAAACTCCAGAGGCAACAGTGTCAAGGAAGCCAAGGTACAAGAATTGCAGTGAGGGAGAAAGGATGATTATTAGCAATAACAAAAAATGTCAAAAGGGCATCCCCTGGATTTGGGGACTCAAATGGTATGTTCCAGTGAATCATGATTAGTAGATGGGGAAACTAACACCCAAAAAGAAAGAGTGAGCTTCCTAAAAATCCCACTGTTGACCATTGGCAAAATCATGCTTCTAGCCAAATGTTCTTTCTGTGGTAGTGTAGAAATCCACCAGGACTTGTTTGGCAATGGTGGAACAGATTGGTTGCTGTGGGAAGGGAATGATGCAGTAGAGAGGAAGAATGGCAAGGTTTGAAGTGGTAGGGAAAGAAAAGGGTATGTCAGACAACAAACACTGTGCACCTGGGGTTTCCATAATGAAGGGAGTGAAAGTTGCTAGACCAGACCAGGATTCCATCTTCTCTGTAGATACAAAACAGACTAGCTCCTGAATAGTCCATTCTAGATTCAATAGAAATTCTTTCTGAATTTGAAAATTTGAATTCACATAAGATAGTGATTAATTCTACTTGAGTAGCAGAAGATTTCATAACTGACACACATTGATTGTAAATTAATGGTATGGTTCATATCTGGACCCTTTCCCCAAACATGCAGCAGCTACCAAAAAACACTGATTCTCTTATGAACAAGGGGGCTACTTTGGACAAGAATAGCTGGAGACTTAGACAAAACTAGATCACCGAAGTTTAATCTCTGAGGTCCTGTTTTCCAAAGGTTGTCAAATTGAAGATGACCTTTATTTGGGTCAAAGCAGCAAGGGAAGATCTGGGTTGAAAGGAGTTGAATCTTTCCACCTACTCTGAAAGGATGTTTCCAAGTCTGCTGCAAAATCACCCATGGCTTGTGAAGAGGCCCTGGAAACCTCTTCATTGTAAATACCCTTTGTGGATTCTATATTCTGGCTAGAACTAATTCTGCTTAGCTAAACACAGGTTGATGGGACCAGCACCCTGCCAGGAGAAACAGAAACCAGGATTCAATTTAAGGGAGTACAGATGCTCAGTTTATACAAAGCAGCATTTAAAAATGTTAAGTTTCTCACTAAAGTAGACTCCCTCATCTCTATATCCAACCCGCCCCCCACCCCGCCTGGCCCCTTAAGGGAAGACTAGTACTTCTGACTTTCTTGCATGTGACATAATTCTCAGGAATATTTTTTCTGATATACTTCAGAATTATCACTACTTGGTGTCAACTACAGACAGTTGATGGTATTTAAGGTGTAGGCTAAAGATGATCAGGTGGATTCTTTGAGTGGGCAACATGTACAAAGATAATATGTGTATCTCTGTGTATAAATATTGCTTACTTTTATAGTCCATATTAATGTTGAAGACTCAAGGTTTTATGTCACGTATCTTTCCAAGTCAACAGGCACCAGTTAAGGTTATTGCTCTTTGTGGGAAGGGGGCACTCAGTGACATTTTGTGCAATGATTCCGGTACAATCATAGTGACATGTTAAAATTCCTACAGTCCATCAGTTATAGAGTGAGCACATCAAGGGAAGACATTTGAGTCCTTTTTACTGAAAGGTTCCATTCACTGACTCCTCAAGTTCCAGTGTTGGACAAACAATGGGCTAAGGAATTGACTATGTTTATGAAAAAACATGAAAAAAGCAGATAGCTTTCCGAGTACATGTAAAAAGTTTCTCCCATTGGAAGAAATGGAGTACTCTTGAGGAAGAATCTTAGTTATACTTTTCTGACTTCTACCAGTCCTTCTTAAGTTTTCCCAGGTACTTACCTGGAAACTCTCTTATGCACATCATGGGCTTACTCTGTCATTTAAGGCTTTAGTTGATGTGATTTGCAAGGCATGAATGTTTAATAAAGCAACACCTCCAAGATCCTACCATTATTCCGCTACGATCAGGCTACAGTCTGAGCCTTTTGTGGGTTCCTTACCTGGGACACTGTGATGCCACACTTCTTGGCTAACTCCTCTTTGGCTTCCTCACTGGGGTAAGGGTTGCTGAGATGGGAATAGAAATATTCATTCAGGATTTCTGTCGCTTGTTTGTTGAAATTCCGTCTCTTCCGCCTTCATGAAGAAAAAGGAAACAACAATAACCAAAAGAACCAAGTTCACACCAAATACATAAAAAAGTTTCTACTTCTAGGAGGAATCAGATTTTGGAATGAAAAATGGTTTAGGGGAGATTTATACAAAGGCCTGGATGTCAAAATCATCACTTAAAAGCATTCATTAGGGTCCTCCCTGGTGGTGCAAGGGGTTAAGCACCGCACCATGAAGCAATCTGCAGCCTCTGCAACATGAGTTCGATGGCCAGGGAGAAACCCACATGGCGAGGCAGACCTCTCCTGTCTCACCCGCTGCTCCCCTCAGCAGTGTATTTCAGTCAGTCTGCCTGTTCTGTTCCCCACTTTGTCTCTGGTGGATCCTCTCACCCCCTGCATCTCACCCCAGCTCTTGTATGCATAAATAAATAAATCTTTTTTAAAAAAAGCATTCATTAAATACCTCTTGGGAGGACTCCCTGGTGGCCTAGGGGTTAAGTCTCAGCGCTATCATGTGATCACCTCTACAGCCTGAGTTCTATCCCCAACCAGGGAGCTACCCACATGGCACAGCAGACCTCTCTTGTCTCTCCCACTGTCCCCCTCAGCAGTGTATTTCAGTAATTTTAGTAGATCTGCCTGTTTTGCTCCCCCACTCTCTCTCTGGTGAGTCCTCTCATTCCCCATACTTCTGGCCTACACCCCAGTTCTTGTATGCAAAAATAAATACAAATTAAAAGCAACAACAAAAATTTCTTTAAAAAAATACCTCTTGGGACACCGTTGGGGCAGTGACCAGAAGATGGTCATAAATGTGGAGTGGTGAGGAACATGAAGTTGCAAAATTGAATCATCTGGGTTTTGAAGCCAGGATCAACTGAATACCAGCTGGATATCTGAGATACCTTCCTAGACTCAGCTTCTTGAACCAAGAGTAAAGGAGAGAGGGCCTCCCGTCGTGGCGCAGCGATTGAGCACTGGGCTGTGAAGCTGCTGCAGCTTCACAGTTGGATCCCCGGCCACTGGCGAGGGTCCTACATGGCGCGCAGACCTCTCCTGCCACGCCCACTGCTCCCCTCAGCAGTGTACTTCAGTCCTTCTGCCTGTTCTGCTCCCCGCTCTGGCTCTGGTGAATTCTCTCACCCTCCCGCGCTTCTGACTGTACCCAGTGCTTGTATAAATAAATAAATAAATCTTTAAAAAAAAAAAAAAAAGTAAAGGAGAGAGTCATACTGATGTCCCCCAGTGACAGTAAGAGAGAAAAGAGAACCACATGAAGAGAACATTTTCACACAGTGTCTTTTATGTGGCAAAGGCTAGGACACTGTGTGGGTGTCTCTTCCACTGAGGACACTGTTTCTTCATGAAGCTCCAGGAATTGGAACTTATCCCACAGAACAGTCAATTCAAGTTATTCATCTGTCACCACTAGTAAGGTAGATATGGTTATTTCCATTTACCAATGAAGAACTGAGTTCAAATGTCACTCAGCTGCTAGGTTATAGAGCCAAGATATTAGTTCAGGTCTGCCTGACTACAAAACCCAGACTCTTTCTTCTATACAAATTGTCTCCTGGCAATTGCACAGAGACTCTGTAGCCATAAGTTAAAAATAAGTTATCATTTTTCCTCTAGTCTATCCCCATGCAATGCAAGTGACATTTTAAAAAAGCATCCAGAAAAGGGCATGGAAGGGACTGAAATGAACCCCCTGACTGCTTGACCTCCCTCAAAAGCGACACTTTGGAAGCAAGAACAGCTGCTAAATGGTAAAACAAAAGCCCACAGAAATCTTTTTAATATATAGGTTGCTGAAAGGGAGAGAACCACTTTTGGAATAAAAGCATTTTTCTGCCTTTAAAAGAAAGTGCTAATTGAACTAATTTAAAGTGAGAATCATTTTATTGCCTCCTCACAGTGAAGGCTGTGGATCATTGAGGCGTTGCTGAGGAACTCCAGGCTGAGTGCAGAGGCTAGCTGGCTCTCCTTGAGATGGTGGGGCTCCATCTCTAAATTAGCTCTATTAGCACTTTTGCCTTTCCTGCCTTTATCAAAAGCTTTTCCTCATGGAAATGATTTCTAGACCAGCCCTGGTTATGCCAGGATATCATTTCCCAATTTAGCCAAGAGAAAGCACTGATCACCTTGCTAGACAGGAAATTCAGCTAATATTGTATTTTCAGGGTCCCACTTGGATTAATTAACACAATAAAGTGCCTGATTTTACCGGATGAATACCATCTGTCCATAAGTATTAACCACATCTGTCCAGATTATGCCAAGCCCAAGTCACATTCTCAAATCATGCTGAGTTTCTGGGTCACCCAGCATCAGAAATTAGGCAGATTGGACTTAAAAGTCCAACTGAAACAGTAGGCATGTGTTAAAGCTCTTGCACGATGGGAATTTGAGGAAGACAGCCAAGTGGCTACTAGGGTCTCTGGGTCAGTCTATATAACCTCTGGCTTCCTCTTTGCCAGAAAAAGACAGTTGTTTTAGGCCTGGGGAGCTGGACCCTGAAGGCTGCCCTAATTGGGAGAACTCATTCTGTTGTTTGCATTAGCATTACAGTGTATTTTTTGGGACTCTTCCAATTGAGCTCAAAGGAAGCCTTCCTGGAATGGGCTGGTGGTGTGGGGATGGTGCGGCCAGCTGTTCCGGCTCCCTCTCTGGGGGTGGTCAGCCCTCCCTGGGAGGTCTTATCTCCTCCGATGGACATGCTTATCACCATTTTCAGTGGCTGTCTCCATCCACGGTCTTTGAAATCCCAGAATCAGTAATTTTCAGAATTTCAAGAAATGGAGGAAAAGTAACTCTTCTGATAATAACATTATTGGAACTAAGGCACCTGGCTGCTTCACTTGAAGTGTTTGCCTTCACTTTTTGAGTTAATATTTGTGATTTCAAGCTAATCAAAAGCTTTGATATCTGGTACCTAAGTTTTTGAGATAGTCAATTAAATATTACAGGAGAAATGTGGCGTTTCAGGGATGACATGTTTTGAAGCAGAGTGATCTGAGAGCGAGAGGAGCAGGTACCATCAAGCTTGTTGCTGTGGATGCTCTGTCCCCTGCCCTAACGCTTCTCCTAGGAGCCACTGCCACACTGGCGCTGCCTGCTCTGGGCATGTCCACAAACCCTGTGTTTCCAAAACTAGTACCACATTTTACCCAACTTAGCACCATAATCTTTGCTACCCACATTATATAATGACTTCATCACAGATGGAGGTCATTACATGTGCTATTTGTCCATCCATCCATCCATCCATCCATCCATCCTTCCTTCCATCCATCCATCCAACTCATTCAAATATTTGAGTATGAAGCTTAGAGTGGTTCTCAAGCTTCCCCACCCTCTTAGGTTCATCAAATAATTGATTCCAAAGCAAATCCTGTCAGTTCTATTCTTTCAAATCCATCCTTTCATTGCATCCTTAATGGTACTGTTATTTTCGAAGTGGGTTTAGATGTCCATCATGGCAAAGTCTTGCAAGTGCTATTCAATGGCACTTGCACCATGAGGACATGTTGTCTATTTCTACCGGTCAATACAGGAGTCATTAGACATGTGTGGCCAGTGAGCACCTGCAATGTGTTCAGTGTAAGTGGAGAACAACATTTAAAAAATTTATTTATTTTTATTTTAATTAACTTAAATTTAAAATCAAATCATCACATACTAGCCAGTGCAACTTTAGACCAATATTCTAAAGAAATGGTATGCCTACAACCCTCCTGGAAGGAGAACATGAACTCACAGCACTGGGTAAGAAATGTCTTTACAACCTCCAGCTTTAATCTATTCCACAATAAACCAAGGTTTATTGAATATTTGAGTAAAATGGGAAATGTATATTGACTTACATCTCCCCTGTTGTGAATAGTTCTTATCTACTCTTCCTCCGATCCAACTCATCTTCAAGAGAATCATTACAGTAATTCCTTCAAACTTGGATCTGATCATGTCACAAAATAATAACACATAATTAAGTGTATAATAATATGTAATATAGTGATCTGTATTATTTAGCTGAATCATGTGAATACCAGGTTCAGTTCACTAATAGCATATTACTTATTATTACATTATCTTACTTGTTCTGGTACATGAGACTAGCTCCATTTTACAGACAAAAATTGAGTCTGAGGGAGGAGAAGCCACTCCATGGGTCATAAATGTAGTCAAGATTGTAACCAGAATTTGAATCTGAGCTGTAGAGTTTGAGAATTTACTGTAAATTATGGCATTCCTTCCTTAAATAGCTGAGGGTTTCTGCCAATTAGTAGGAAAACTGGAAATCATCACTAATTTTTTAATGGACCCATTCCAGCCTCAGAGGCTTAACTCTCGCCCCCCCATCCTACACAGGCTTTCACCCTCCAGGGTGTCCTCATCCTGCCCTATGTTCATTTCTTTTCACAGCATTTGCCACCTGTCTACATATGTCTGTCTCCCCAACAGCAGGGGAGGGGGCATGTTCTGTCACATCCTCGTGCCTAACACAGAGCAAGAATTCAGGAAGCAGAACTTGCTGGGATTGAATTATGCCATTTCGCTGTGCTAACATGGTCCCTTCTTTTTGGCAAACATCAGATTCCTCTGCATTCAGTACTGTGAGTGCTCCTGATTCTCCTGCAGGTGAAGCGGTAGGTGCACTTTACAGGTGATGTGCAATTTTCGGTTTAGTATCTTTGTCCCATGAGTTTATTAGCATCTTGAAGGAAGGGTCCATTTATATATACTGTTTCCCATTTTTGTTATTCTTGTGGCTAATAAAGCTTTCATCAGAGAACCAGAACTTAGACACATAAATAAATCTAAATACAGTGTTACCTTGGCCAGCCCTGACTGATGCTCCCTATTGTCATTCTTGCCACCCTGCTCCTCATCTGATGCCATCTCCTTTATGTGGGGGAGCAATGGAGGGTACTTGTAATCACCTGTTTTTGTTCTAATTGTTATCTCCAGCAAAATGCTATTGTACCAAAGTTTAAACTATCATTTTCAAATCATTAGAGGGTTTATAAGTTCCCCCTCTCATTTTCAACAAAGAAAACTGTATTTATAGTCTTGACAGTAAATTTAACCAAGTTCCATGGCATGAGGCTTAATATGTAACATGAGATAATAAATGTGGAATGAAAGAATAAATGTGATTTTCAGCTGTTTCTCCGGCATAGTCAAGTCTATGTAAAGAAGAAAATAAGGACGTAACTTGATGCAAGGCAAATGCTGACTAGGGGGATATAGACAGGACAGTTTTGAGAGGCATATAGATGGCAAGATGGCGCCTACCTCTTGCATGTGCCTGCTGTTTGAGTATGGATGGGAGCAAAAATGATAGGACAGCATTCTTGTGATGACATTACTCATTGGCTGACTTTGAGGCGATGAAAAGGGAGATCAGGTTAAAGCCTTAAAATGAGGAGAGTCCTCTGCCTGTGTCTTGAGGGAAACGAGAAGGCAGACTCTAGGAGTGAGGACCTCAGTGCTACAGTCACAAGGAACTGAATTCTGCCAACAACTGGAATGAGCTTGGAACAGGAAAGACCCTGAGCTTCTTATGAGGTCACTGTCTCAGCAGAAACCTGGATGACAGCTTTGTGAGACTCCTGTAGAGGATCCAGGGGAGCCAGCCCAGGCTCCTGAACAACAGAAACTATTAGATTAACAACTTTGTGTTGTTCCAAGCTGCTAACTTTGTGGTAATCTGTTAAGCAGCAATAGAAAACTAACAGACAGAGTGTTAGGCAACAAAGCAGCAATATTTGATTCTACATTCCTATGACATGACAAATACTGTTACTACATCAAATTCACCTTGTATTTTATTTATCTCCCATGAAATCTTTTTTGGATGGAGCCATGCCCATCAGATGTATGGTTCAGAGTGGTGCAAACATTTATTTTTGAGCTGGGAGAGCCATTTGCTCAGTCTGTCACTGGTATTTGGGATTCTATTCTTTCACTGATACTAAATAGACCCTCAAAATAAATGCTAATAACAATGACAACAGGTTGTTTTAGTTTTGCACTTGGCTCAGAGGCATTGATTCAAATGTTGCAACCAAAGCAGGAAAGAGGCCCTCTCTTGAAGAGATGCCTCCTCTGGTGCCAACTGGAACAAACTAGGCAAAGGCTGGTGGCAGCAAAAGCAACCGTGTACAAAGCTTGCCTAGTTTTGTGTCTTTTAGTGTTTGACCTTCAGCTGGGCACAGCAGAAGAGAAGAACTCCTAGGAGACAATGCTTCTGCTCCTCCCTTCTCCCTGATTTCTTTCTTGAAAAGAACCCAATCTGGGCCAAACTTTTCTTTCCTTTTTTTTTTTTTTTTTCAATATCTGCCAACAGAAATACCAACTCCAGCATTTTAATAGGGTAGTTGCCATGGGGATTGAACAATACATGTGGAGTGGTGGCTGCTGTGGCCCAGGGAAAGAGCCCAACAAAGGCCGCCAGTCACACTTACTTCCACCCTGAGGACTGGCAGGCATTAAAGAGGCCAGGAGAACCGAGGCACAGGGGCAAAGGAGAGGCCTGGGGCCTCTGGCGGTAGGGTGGCCTCGCCTGTCCACACTGTTTACTGCAGCCAGCCAGGAGGCGAGATCTTCATGTTTACTTTCCTTTGACTTGCTCCATGGAATTCCACAGGCACAGAGGTAGCTCTTGCTAGCTGGCATTCTCATTTCAAATGCCATGCACTCCAAAACACATTGAGTGAAAGGGAAGTCGGGGGATGCCAGGAGTTTTAGAGGTCGGTGGACTGTAAAGTCCACAATTGTGAACCCAGAGAAAAATACAGGCAAGAGAGTTGAATAATACATGATTTCAAGGGTGAAAAAAATCAAGAAGAGCAGTGACTCTTTCTGTCTGATTAAAAAGAGGCAAAATTACAGATCGTGAGATGGTAGACTACCCTGGCACATTTAACATTCGAATAATCATCAAAAATTGGGGCTATTTTCAGGGGTTGAAATGATGGCCATGAAATCCACATTTATGGGAGATGGCTGATTGAAGATGAACTCTAGGTCTCAGTGGATACTCAGACTCTGAAAATATATTTACTAGATTAATTATTAGTACTACTCTACTCTACTTCTTATAGAGTAGAAGAAAGATATGATCTTTATTGTTCTAATGTCTAGATCACAGACACTAAAGAAATGAAAGGGATTTGCACTGGTCTAGAGTGTAGGGACATTAAGAATAAATTATTTGTTTACTGTTTTCAGTTTCTGACTTATAGGACCTCTCGACCCATAGTTTCTTCAACTGAATTTTTTGAATTCACAAGGAAGCCAATGGGAGCAATGCCAGACAAGAAACATTCAACCATAATTGAAAATTTGGCCCATGTCAGAGCAGTCCTTGGCCCTCTATTCCCAAGGGATCATATCTTATTCATCTCTGTCCTCTTAAAATTTAGTCCAGTAACTTAGCACATGATAATCTATTTAGAAAGATTTGTTGGATTGAACTGAGCATGCTCGCAGCCTATATGTAGTTTGGAAAAGACCCCAGCTCTCCATCTGAGCTCTCTTTCTTGGAGAAAGCATATCACCATGATGTCTCCGCAGGCCCATAGTTACAACAAGCACCTAGTGAGATGAAAGAAGAAAGTTCTGCCTTTTCTGTCACTGTGGTTAAGTCATATTGCTTCTCACTCCCAGTGAGTTCCAATGGAGATCAAAATCATGCCTCCTATCACACATCTCTCTGGAACTGTTAAAACCAATGGCTTAGCCAGAAATTTGACCCAATACAATATTATGATTTATAAGAAATGTGTATTTTGATCATTCAGGTGACCAAAATATATTTCTCTTGTATTTGATCTTCATCAACAGTTCCTAATTCTAATTGACAGCTCCCAAATGCCTTGGAATTTCCTGCGTGAGAGTGATAAAGGTATTTCTTGTTATAAAATGTTAATGAGATAACTTTCGGGGACTAAGGATGGGGGCTGGGTGCCAGAGGAACCAAACAGGTAATTAGAGGGTTCGAACTGCCAGTCCCACCAGGGAGAGGAGAGAGGCTAGCAGTTGAGTTCAACTGCCAATCCTTTAATCAGTAAAGATTGCAAGGTAGTGAACATGTGGAGATTTGGAGGAAAATGGCACCTGGAGAGGGCATGGAAGCTCTGTGCCTTTTTTTTTTTTTTAAAGATTTATTTATTTATGCAAGCACTGGGTACAGTCAGAAGAGTGGGAGGGTGAGAGAATTCACCAGAGCCAGAGCAGGGAACAGAACAGGCAGACTGACGAAATACACTGCTGAGGGGAGCAGTGGGTACGGCAAGAGAGGTCTGCTGTGCCATGTGGAACCCTCGCCGGCGACCAGGGATCGAACCAGTGCTGCAAAGGCTGAGGGCAGCTTTGCAGCCCAGCGCTTAACCGCTGCGCCACCAGGGGAGGCCCGCTCTGTGCCTTTTCTCCATACCTTGCTCAGTGCCTCTCTTCATTGGCTATTCCTGAGTTACATCCTTTGTGGTAAATCAGGGATCTAGTGAGTAAACTGTTTCCTCTGTTCTGTGTGCCATTCCAGCAAATTAACTCAGCATGAGGAGGGGGTCATGGGAACCTTTGATATATAGATAATGGATCAGAAGCAGTGGTAACAAGTTGGGATTGCAACTGATTTCTGAACAGGAGGATGGTCGTGGGACACTGGCCCTATGTCTGTGAAATCTGATGCTTCCTCCAGGTAGATAGTGTTGGAGCTGATTTCCAGATGCCCTGAACACACACACACACACACACACACCACACTCATGTTGAAAAAAATGGATCCCAATACCTTAACACACTTAAGCATCTCTCTCAGGATACTGGGTAGCTCAACATCTAACAAGAGGACCATGAAGCTGTTAGAGATGCCAGCATAGATTCTAGTCCTGAAGAGTGACTCACCCAGAGGCAAGGATAGAGCAGTGGGGAACTCACCGTGCATCCAGAAATCGTGAACGTAGGATCATGACAGCCTCACACGTGCTTTGCTTGAGCTGCATCTGGATGGAGCTGAATTTGCGGTGGATTATGCTGACCATTCTCTCGATCTCCTTTGGGGAGATGGGCCTGGTCCGGCTCTGTTCGCGCAGGAGATTCATCACATGGGTGGTGAACTCGTTGCAGGCCTAGAGAGGCAGGACAGTAAATACAGGGGCATGTTAAGGGTCCAAACTCAGCACTGCCAGGTCCCTGACAGCAAGCATTGTGGGTTTCTCTAAAGATTTGCACAAGTACAGAAAACTGGGCTGTTTGTAGGATTTTATCAAATCAGAGGCAGAGTCAATGATTGTCAGGAAATTCCTTTAAGTCCATTTGATTCTACCTTTGGCTGTGATGGAGATTTTTTAAAGGGAAAAAGAAATTCTTAATCATTTTTTCCCCTTAATCATTGTTTTTATGATTTTACCGTGAAAGATGAGAAGATGAATCCTGGTATAGACCACACTTTACAACCCTTCACCCCAGTGTTAACAGCCAAAGAGAGTTTGGGGTCAAGTAGAAAATGAGTTCTCTGCTTTGTCCATTATCTCCAATATTATTAGAGCTTCCAAATAGTCGATGCACAGTCAAAAGAGTGGAATCAAGGGCTTTGATAACTTCTGGGAGATTTCACATCAATCTAGTTCTATGTCTAATTTTATGATATGAACTCCCACCTACACTGGCCTCCTGAAGATCCTATGTCTATTACACAAAAGGAATCTGTCCTCAGGGGCCTTACAGAAACAGAATCAGAACATGATTTAGAGGATTCAGCCATCCTGCAGAAAACTGCCAGGTTATAGACCAACATGCTATCAGCTCTGTAGGTGAAGTTGGGGAGCATTCTTCCCATCCTCCTTATTTTACAGTTGGGAAAACTGTGGCCCAGAGAGATGAAGGACCTTTTGCACAGATAAAGCAGAAGAGAAGCAGCTAAGACAGGAACTGAGCACTTCGTATTCCAGGTCTTTGTATTTAGGTCTACTACTTATCCTTCACAGTTTGTTTTCCTTAGCTGAGCATTTCATAAAATATCTATTCAGAGGGTCACTCACCTCAATGTTATAAAATTGTATTCCATTTGTAATGAAAAAGGCAAGATAATGCTTTGAGAGTGGAAGAACTAAGGCCTCACTGGGCTCCAACTTAATATTAACACAGAAACATGCTCATTAGTGATGACATTGCATTGCCATGGATTTCATAGCACAAAGCACTTCAGAGTTGTCAATAACGCAGGAACAGTAACACATTTGCTGTTTGTTTCTCTTGAAATCCTTCCAGCTTGGCCAACCAAAGATACATAGGCAGGTGCACTCGCTGGCTGTGTCTACCCTGGGGACTGGGAGGCCAGCTCATTCTAAGCAGCCAAACATTTCACTGCTCAATCCCTCCTTTTTTAGTCTGAGAGTAGATTTAATCATGTCTAACCCTGTGCTAGGCTAACAGTACCCATGAACTTGTGCAATGAGCTGCAGCCAGAATCAACCTTTCACAGAGCACGCTGAATAAGACCACAGATGACCCAAATTCAGAACCTATTCTTGGGATTCTTATCGGAGATGCCTGTGGAGTTTATATAACCTTTCTGTACCTTACTTCCCTTATTTAAGAAACAGGTAAGAATTTAAGAGCAACTATATGTGTGTGATCATATAAAGCTGTGCCATTATTATCTTTTTAAAATATAGATAACTTAGAAATACAACTTATTTCCATGATGTGATAAACTTCCCCAAGCTTCTTGGTAAAAATAAAGGGGGTCATAAATCTTTTTTTTCTACTCTGTGGGCATACACTGACGACAAATCCATAGATCAGGCCCATATAATACTTTACTCTCCACTATGAGAATGACTATCTAAGCATAAGAAGCTAAACATACCAGCTTTTCCTATCCCCAAGCTTTGCCAACCAGAAGGAGGAACAACAAAGAGAGGGAAGTAAAAGCTGCAGCAGGTTGGCCAATTCTGGGGGGGGCGAAGGGGTGGGGAGTGGAGGGTTAGGCATGGAGGATCTCAACCAGGGGAAAAGTTGCCCCACTGGGTTGCAGCCTCCCCACCCTGTGGGGGCTCAAAGGGAGGAGGGGCTAGATGTCAGGAGGTCTGTCAAGAGCACTGGCCTTCCTCTGGGGAGCCATGGTGCTCTGCTAATAATAATGTGCTTCATTACAGTGAGTGAAAATACTCGCAGTATCTAATGTTTGTTCGGGGCATGTTATCCTGAGGCCCGTTCTGCTCTGCCATCGACAGTGGAGTCTTCACTCACTGCTGAGGTGGAGCAGGGCAGCTGCTGCACAGCTGCTTGGGAGCACACAACCAGGAGCAGAGAAGAGTCATTCTGATGTGGACAGAACACAATGATCCAGGTTCTTTTAGCACTTGAGCCCCCACACCTCCTCCTCAGTTCTCCCAAACTCACACCTTTGGACGCCGGCTGCTTTGTGAGGCTGGGTGTTCTCGATGTGAGAGCAGTGTGGGAGGCTGAAGTTACATGTTAATTAAATGGAACTCTCTCGGCTGAAGATGTCCTTGACAGAGGAGGCTCTGCTGTAGACTGGCATTAAGACTGTCACTTTCTAAGCTACCACAACAGCAGTCCCCAGAGAAAGTTGGTGTTTCTGAATGCCCACATCCGAAGTTTCAGGACGGGGCATTAATGAGAGCAGCAGACTGAAGAAAGTCCTTTGAGGAAGTTGAAATTTACCTCCCAGACTCAGATCAGCTCCTCTTCTTCTCTTACTCCTTCAAACTGGATTTGGCTGCAAATGTGACCAACCAATGTAACCGGGATTATGTGTGAATGGATGCAGCTTGGCTCTGTTGATGCTCAGTAGCATTATTTATAAAAGGTGAAGAACTTTGCAAAGTTACAAGAGCATCGTTTTTCCTTCTTTCTTTTTTTTTCTTTCTTTTGGAATAGCACTTGGAATAAAATTCACGTATCCGACATCATGGCTTTCTCTATTAGAATATGCCAACTCTTCAATACCTTAGCTACCAACATGATCTGCTGAAAAGTGTTTTATCAATCCCATTTAATGAAGAAAACAATCACCTTCCCTTTCTTTCTAATGAAAGTCCCTAGAAACCTTTCTTTAATAACCTTGGGGTGAAATAATGGCTGATTGAGGTAGGTTTTTTTTGTTGGGGAGGGTTGGAGGCCAGGAGGGTTCTGATAGCTAATTGATGGGCTAGTGATCTACTGCTGCCATACTAAACACAAAACAACGGGATTAACTATTAAATAGTCAATTTGGTAATTTCATATATGAAATAGAGAGTGACATTCTTATTTTACTGAGGTTTCCTGTTTTTAAAAAAGCTCCCACGAGGAATGGTTATAGAAAAATGAAGAAGATACATCTTTCAGACACACCAGCAAGAAGGTTAATGGCATAATTTCCTTACAATCTGCTATTTACTATAATTAACAATACAACTAATAGTAATAAATTATTAAGCACTCAGAGTATGTTAAGTAGTATTCAGTTTTTACCCAGAAAATGCCCATACAAATAAGGGAGTGATCCTTTAGTACTTTATAGGAGTAACAACTACAGACTACTATTGCTACACTTATATAATTTTCTATGTACTATTGGAGTTTTTCCTTAAGCCCCCAATCTCCAGCATCTTTATTATTTAAAATAGGTAGATAGCCATGAGAAGTTTCTGGAGGATATTTTAATCATCTAAGGTACCATCAATCTAGTCCAGAGCAGCAGCGAGGACAAGCTGGTTTCTTTCATGTATATAGAAACACACTCTTTCTTTCCTGAGCAGAGTGGAGTATTTTTCCAAATAGAGTCCAAACACTGGTTTCTAAAACATTCTCAGATGTATGACCCAAATATATCACCTAATCTCTTGAACCTCCATGTCCTCACGTGTATCCAAATGGAGGTGGTGACAGTACCCATCTTGGGTACCAAATCACAACGATGCTTCGAGCAAAGCTACTGAATATGTGCCATTATGTCAGCAAAGGCATTTTAGTTATTTAAGATGAGGACAGAAAAGTGACAGGGGGTGGGGCCTCCCCTGGTGGCGCAGCAGTTGAGCGCTGGGCTGCAAAGCTGCCCGCAGCCTCTGCAGTGCTGGTTTGATCCCCGGCCACCGGCCAGGGTCCCACTGGCGCACAGACCTCTCCTGCCACGCCCGCTGCCCCCTCAGCAGTGTGTTCTGTCAGTCTGCCTGTTCTGTTCCCTGCTCTGGCTCTGGTGAATTCTCTCACCCTCCCGCACTTCTGACTGTACCCAGTGCTTGTATAAATATATAAATAAATCTTTAAAAAAAAAAAAAAAGAAAAGTGACAGGGGGTATAAATCAAGAAAACAGTCAGTTCTAATATGCTGGCAACCTGGGCTAAGGATAAAGTCAGTTTTCAGCACCTAACAGCCATGAAGGTTGAGGTTTAGTGGGGAAAGATACAAGCTAGGCTAGTCTTGTGCCCTGGAGTCTGGATATGCTAACCTAGGTGACAGGTTAGATCAGGCTTAATGGCCAAGGTGAAGTGGGACCTTTGTGGGAAATGCCTGTCTGTCTTCCCAAATTATTCCAACTGTTTAGGACAGACTTAGAATTCTAACATGATGGTTCAGTGGGGGCACTCTCCTGGATCAGCCAGTTAGCTCAGCTCAGCCTCTGCCGGGATCTGGTGATATTCACAGGCTCTTACCACAAAATGGCTTTTCTTTTCCTTCCTTTAGCTCATCCCTGCACCTTGTCTGATGGCTGGATTCTACCTGCTTGATTTCAAGCTTCTCAGCAATTTTTTTCCCCTCGTAAAAGAAGGGATTCTGTGGAACTTCATTTCAAAGGTAGATAGGAATGCAATAATGAAACTTACTTCACTTTAAATTTTAAAATGCCTATTTCTATTTTAAAATTTAAATGTTCTATTACATTTTTGTATTTGCCTGCTAGACAGTCAGTCACAAGTGGACTCTAGAGGGTCTTCTACCTTTTGCTTTTCCCCCCTCTTCTTTCATGACACTTAGAAAAGCAGGACAGAAACCTAAAGAGTCAATGAAAGTAAGTTAACTATAGAACTTAAGGTCAAAGTTGCATTGTAAGAAGTGACAGTTAACAGGTTTGTTTGCTAAATAATGGGAGGAAAGGCTGATGTGAAGGGATTCCTAATAAAGTCGATTGTTATTCATATATAAGTATGGGTATGTGTGTGTGTGTCGGAGGGGTGCTCTAGTAGAGAGGAACTCTTTATAATTAGAATATACTACCTTTATATACTATTTGTAACTGACCACCTTTCTTGGCCTTTCCGTCACATGATGTGTATGCCCCTGTGATATCCTGGACTTCAAGCCCACAGTCCATTGCCATAGACCACCAGCTCTGGGGACATAGCATGTGGAACACTGGATTCCACACACTATCAGTGGAATGTCAGGACTGGAAGCCAACTTAGATTACAGGGGTCCCCTGAGATCCCCTACTTCTTCTATAGGGGGAGGTGCCCTACAGAAGGTGCCCTATGGCATATCATCTAGTATATAAAAAGCAACATGTTAGACTCTCACTTGAACCCATTCTGGGCAGAAGAAGAGGCTTCAAGGCCAATGCATAGGATTCCATGAGCACTGGGAACATGAGGAATCTTAATGAAAGCACAACCCAGGACCACAGGACCTCGACCACAGGTCAGATGGCAGCTTTGGCTGACACTCACTGCCTCATGAGGCCTGGGATTGCATGCGACGGGCAAACATTCCAGAATTCCAGGTGTGGATATTGTCTATTAACAGTTCCTGAAATCATCAAGTTACAACTTAATGTTTTAAAATGCCTCATCTCCAGTTTGCCTGGATTTTTCATAAGGCGGCCAAGGGCTGGTCTCAAATTGAGCATGTGGCTCTGTGGTTGGGGAGGAGACTCTGTGCCCACCAACCCAGCAACCTGCAGAGGCTGCCCTGGGTCCCTGGGCTCCACTGAGTTTGCTCCTTCGTCCTTTTCTGGGGGGTAGGGATGGTGGTTACCTGCTCATATTTCTCCAGCTCCGTGTGGTAGATTTGTCTGATCTGGGAGAGTTTGGCTCTGTAGTCGGAGTGTTCCACGGAGTTGTCGGATCCAGCGCCTCCAGACGCTGCAGCCGCTGCTGCTGCCGCTGCCGAACCCCCACCTTTCTCGGGGCCCGCCACCCCCTCTGCCAGCAGCATGTTGTCCAGCCGCATCAGCTGGGGGTCTGTGGGCTCCTCCTCCTGGGCTCCCCGGATACTCAAAACTGCAGGAAAACACAAAGAGGGGACAGTTAATAGTAACCCAAGGGAGAGGCCTGTTGTTAAAATTGCCATATTGCTAAATCCATCTCCAGTGTGGCCTTTGAGGCCAGTTGAAGGCTGGAAAAAAGAGGAACTTTTTTCAGGAGAGAAAAATAGAGAAAACATTAGGACAGTTGCTTTGTTGCCAAATAAATTGTTATTAATAATTAATTTTATCAATTATCATTTATAATGCAGTGACGATAACAGGTTCACTGCTAGTTTCTGTAGGAGACGCTTTCAGGTTGGCTGGCCAAAGACACAGAGACAGACAGATCCACTGGCCTGTGTCTGCACACTTATATGAGGTCCCTAGAAATGTCAAATTCATGGAGGCAGAAAGTCGATTCCTGGGGACCAGAGGCTGGGGGTGGAGGTGAGGGGGTTATTGTTTAACAAGCATAGAGTTCCATTTTGAGAAGATGAAAGAGCTCTGGAGATCAGGTGGAGGGGTCTGCCCAACATGAGTGTACTTAATGCCATTGAACCATACTCTTAAAATTAGTTAAAATGGTAAAATTTAGGTGATATATGATTAACTACACAAAAAGGAAATATCAGCACTATAAAAAATTAATTATAGCAGAATATAATTTTCACTTTCATCCCTAAACTGCCAAATTTCTCATTCAAGGAAAAGCACTTCCTTCTTTATTTCTAATTTTAGATTGCTGTGAACTCGGGGTTTTACACTCATTGACTTTGTAATATTTGATCAGTTTAAATTTTCATTTCCAAAATAACCCTAAGCAAGATAAATCCAGCTAATTCAGAGCATGAAATCTTAAGACCTTTGCCCTGGACTATCAGAGAGTGTAGAGATGTCTGAAAAGGCAAGAAGACAATTTGGCCCTGGCGTAGGGATGTGTAGCTCCCCAAATTGAAATTCATCCATTCCAGGTGATAAGGATTCTATCCTGGTGAAAAGAAGGGGGAGGCCCTTTCAACGAGCTGCCTCAGGGCTGCAGAGAAGGCAGCGGGATCTGGAAGGGTGGAGGAGGCTCAGATCCGAGAAAGTGCCTTTTACTGAAAAATTCTAGGGCCATTGGGGGAGGGGGTAGGGTGAGATGGACTGAAAGTGATCAAATGATTTAGTAAATCAGCAGAAGAGCTAGGCAGGCTCTTTTTACTACTATCATACAACCTGCCATAAAATAAATCACTCATCTAAACTCAGTTCAGTTGTCAGCAGCCAAATCTTTGTTGAGAGGGAACATGAAAAGAATTTTCAATTAAAAATGATCAAAATTTATTTGGGGGAGGGTGGGAAAGGAGGGAAGTGATTAGAGGTGGGAGGAGACTCATGTTGGGTCGTGTTCAGGGGTGGGCATGGCAGGTTCTATGGCTGTGTGGTTATAGGAGCCCCGGAGTCACCAAAGTGGGAGTTGAGGGCTGTGTGAGGGCAGGGCACATGGGTGAACCCCCAGGGGATGGTGCCAGCTCCTACTGTGTCCAAGCCCAGCAAGGTGCCCACAGGGTGTGGCTGTCAGCTCCATAGAAGAGGGACTGAGATGACCAGGGCATTCTGTCTAATACCAGCATGCCTGCCAGTTGTGCCGTGTGCTTCTGGTTTTTCCTGAACATGGTTCTGAAGGAGACCCCAGTTTCTGTGCTAAAAGGAAAACAGGAGCACTGCTTTCATGACATATGAGACAGTCAAGCGCAAAGCCAACTGCGTAGACCATGGGCAGCCATGAGGGGCAGGCAATAAAGGCACAGGGTGAAAACCCTGCTTTTTGATGATCTGCAAGATTGGGAGGTGGGAAGGAAGCCCGCACCTGCATACACAGCAAACACTTTAGGACCCAGGTGCTTGTCCCTTCATGTCTGAATGTTTGATACTCTGCTCACTAAGGTAATATCGCTACCCTGGCGATGGGCCGGGTGAGAGGATCCTTGAGGTTGATTTGTGGAATTTTTACCCAGTGAATTTCTTCTCTTGTAGGCTCAGGAGACTAAACAGGAATTGCTTCTTGGATGGATCTTACATAATAAATATTTAGTCAAGGTAGTCTTCCTTGACTTTATCTATTCAAAACTTCACCATTAATAAGGGTTTCCTTTGTTAGAGATGGATGGTTGAACCACTTCCTGAAAACTTGGTTAAAGGTGCAAAGAAGACTCTGACCCCCAACCCGCCTTCCGGCCCAGCTGCCCGCTGTCCTCTGCACTGTGGTCAGTGAGTTCTCCCAGGTGTGGGTATGAGTGGGTGGGGTTGATGGGTGCTTCTCTAGTGAATTTCATGTGCTTTGTCAACACAAATATTTATGGGCTGTTTACAAATGAAAAAAGAAGCCCCTCTGAGCCATTCTTAATACATGAATGTACTTATTCCACTTGAGCTTGGTCATTAACAACGATGTGCTGGGGCAAAATTCTAATGTCTGATCCACTCTCCTGGCTCTCCCATCTGAGGACTCCTGGACAGCAGCCTCGTGGCTGACGAGACACCCCTCAACATGCTGAGGCTGGTACCCGAGTGGGGCTGGGTCTACTCCGTTACTCCTCACCAACCCTCTTGCACTGGATCCAACATTGAAAGATCTTATAATTATTTCTGGTCTCAACATCAGTAGGGGGGAGTGGGCGGAATGGGCAGGGACAGACAATGCCATCTTAGTATGCAGGACTTGCCCTGTCTGAGATGGTGACAAGGGTCCTCACATACCACTGTGCCTAAGACATCCATGCTTGGCTCGCTCCATAAACTTATTCCTCTAGCAAAGTTCAGTGAGCTAAAGGTGGAGAGAGGCACCCACAGACCAAGGTTCTGGCCCCAGTTCCTGCAGACACCAGGCAGGTGACCTTGGACATGTTGCTACCACTATTTTCAGATGCTCAACATTGACTTCTGAGCACACACTCCTTTGTCTCCCCTCAGCTTCACCATGCCCAGGTGCCACTGTACCTTTTAAACAATCAGTGAAAAGCAAAAATTACCCTTATAAATCTCACACTGCCTCACTTCATTAATGTTTTTCTTGCCCTTGAAATCTAACAGGTATTAAACAAAATAAGGCAGAAAATTACTAAGGCTGGGAAAGGATACTGAAGGGAAGCAGGTCCTCACCTACCATGGAGCCTTCCAGACAAGACACAGAACATAAGGCACTCTCTATATGGACTCCTTGTTATTCAGGTGTGAAGGATACATTTAAGTGGGGGAAATAATAAAACTGTTAGTATTTCATTTATTGAATTTGAAGAAAATAAAGAAACAGAAAGACATAGAAAGATAACAAAACAAAATAGGCCTGTCCAAATAAAACTCTTAAGTTATACTCAAATTATTCTGAAAACAGAAATTTCCAGAATATGTGCCAGAAGCAAATATTTATGTATGTATGTGCGTGTGCATGTGCATGCATGTATGTATGTATGCATATATAGGTATGTATATACATACACACATACACTGATGCTATGTAAACAGGAGGAAATCTTCATCTTCCACAATTTTGCTCAATTGACTCGCTTATGGGGGCCTTGCGCTGTATGTGTGAGCATGGAAGGCTGGACTGAAACACAACACTGCAAGCACATATTTCTACATAGTAGGAGAATCTGATATCCTACTATAAAAATGGGGCTGAAACTCACTGATATGGAAACTGCTCAGTTAGTCGGTTAAAAAAAATCCCACCAACATTAAATAAATAAATGAAGAGGGTGATCTATCTAAGCAGAACTGATGCTACCTATTTATTCTTGGAGCCAGCACTCTGGCCAGGAGGAGACAAAATGATTACTTAAAAGCTCCTTTTTATCTCCGTGGCACCATGCAAGACTCCAATGAACCTTTTGCCAGGACACCAGAGATGTTAACACTCATCCTCCAAGATCCAATTTCAACCAGCGGAGCTGTTACCTAATCCAGCAACCATCACAAATGATCAGGTTCCCAAGTCTCTGATGGGTGCCCCTCCTCTCCCCCCCCCCCCACCCGCCACCCCGTGCTCCCCAGTCCAACAGCTTTTACTGAAACAGCCTTTAAAGGGCCAAATCCCCTGTTTATGCTGGTGCCTATAAAGGGTTTAGAGGCAGTGACAGGTCTGCACTTCCATTACCAAAAGACATAATCAAATGCAGTGGATTCACTGTTCGAGGGATGGCCCAACACGATATAGTTAACCCTTTGAGTAATAATTCTTAAGAAAGGAGTTTCCTTCTCACAAATCTATCCCCCTGTGACTCCCTGCTGCCCCTCTCGAGTACAAGACCAGTCAAGACAGGTGTGTGATTTATGTGGAGTTTGTCACAAGCCCTTTAGAAAGCCTCTGATGTCACATCCACCTTCCTGCCTTTGCTGGCCGGGGTTTAATTCTTTGGTATAAGTTCCAGGCTAAGGGGACTGTCACAGCACTGTCGGAGCCACTCTCACAACTGGTCTCCTGCTGTGCTTTATTTATTTTTCTTCACACCAGGAGAAAAACAAACCAAAGCCAAAGGCAGGTTCAAGGTCCTTGGCAGGAGGCTGCAGGCAGTTGTTTTGTCCTTGTCTGGACAGGGATCCAGAGCAGCGCTGGCCCGTGCCCACTAGAGGGCACTCTCTCTTCACCGAGGTTGCTTATGAGGGAGGGCTGGCAAGCTCCAGCCCTCGGGTTGCAGCTGGGTAAAGTGCCGCTTAGACTTCAACTTCCACAGTGGGGCAGGCAGCAGGAGAGGAGGGCAGACATATGGAGAGGGGGCTGACTTCGGATATGGACAGCGGTCCAGGCACCGGAAGCTGACTGACAGGGACACATAGGTGATTTGGGAAAGGCGTGATGAGCTGGCCTCCCAGGGTGGTGGCCTTGAACTCCCTGGATAATCTCTTTGCTTGATTTCAAGGCACAGGGTTGCATCTCCATGCAAGGAGGCCCACTGTCCACAGTCAGTCTTGACTCACACAGTCAGGAGGGAAGCTGGGGAAGCAGAGCCCTCTGGGACTCATCCCAGTGCTGCCCTGCCATCTCCCAGAAGG